CGGTAATCTTTAATCAAAATCTGAACATTTACTCTCGCTCTGGAATGGCATTCCTTCTCTGATGACGTCAGTTTGACGGCTTAGAATATACTTAAATACACCCCTCCAACCGTTAGTTTGCTATGAGTGAGAGACAGAGAGGAGGAGTGCCCAAATAAAACCATGCCCTCTATTCAATATTCCGTTTCAGCTGGAAATACGTCACTACACTGAAATAAAGTCGGCAGGCAGTTCCGGTTCACGCGGACTTTAAATAATTTGTTCCTGAATGAATCAGCCGTTTGAACGAATCGGTTGAATCTCACTGACTCACTCATTAACAGTCACTTGCTGCCACCTACTGGTGGTTTTAATTTCACATTTCGACTATTTTTTATCTTTTAAAATCATTTAAAATAACAGTATTCAACGTTTTATGTTAAAAACAAAACACTATTTATCCATCTGTAACTGCAGGTTAAATGCATCCATGTCTCCTCTGAGATACATTAAACCAGGGGTGCCCAAACTCGGTCCTGGAGGGCCGGTGTCCTGCAGAGTTTAAACTCTTCAGGACACTGGCCCTCCAGGACCGAGTTTGGACACCCCTGCATTAAACTGTGTAAATACATTTATGCTATTTCAGATGCAGATTCCAGAAATGTTTTCTTATGTTGGAATGAAAGACACTAAGTACCGGAAGAAGTGCTTCTTATTCTTACCCAAAAATACAAAATGGAAGACAGAGTTAACACTAGAACCGCCAGAGGTTGCTGTATACCTAAAAGCACCAGCGGGTAAATTTTACATGGCTAAAGAGCATATTATTTCACTGTATTATGCCACTGTCTTCACAAAGAAGTGTCTAGACTCTAGAGTCATGAAATGATTATGTCTAGTCATCAACTATATTTTTATCCTGTTGTTTTATGTTCAAGACTTTTTAATGCAGGCTACACTAATCCATAACGGTCAGTAGCCTAAGCTAAAAAAAATAAATTTAAAAAAGCCTGCACTGACAACTGAAATTAGAAGGTAGTAGCCTAAATATTTGGGTGGTGTAGTATTATAATACAATGTCATTAATCAGTATATTAAGATAACCCAGACTCTGTAAGCAAAAATCTGTACATTTTCACAATGATGAAACTGAAATTGACAAACCACTTAACACTGGTTTCCTTTTCCTCTTCAAGCTTTAAGGTGGAGTCAAAACACTGCTTAAAATTTTCACATGGCATGATTTCGTTATGCTCAGAGACTATCTGGCTTTCTAACCAGTCACTATTTTCTTTTTTTAATTTACTTTTTAATAATGTTAGGTTTTAAGTATGCTCATTTTGTTCTCTTGTTTCTTATCACCCCTTCTGTAACTGGTAAGTTAATAGTTTATTCAGTTTTAACTTTTGTTTTAGTTTTTTGAAGATTATAAAAGACTGACTACATTGTGGTAAATTCATAAAATGGCCAGCAGTGAAACTAAAATTTACATGCAGAAATGTACACTTTGCAGTCAAACATATTACATTTTTGCATTTGACTTAATGCTGGATTTTATTTTAGCGGTCTAGGGCAGTTGTGTTAGGAAACTGTGTGTAACTTGAATGTGTTTTGCAATGCATGTGATTCATCTATCAAATGTGACTAACTTTAAGTCATTTCACCTCAGCACATGGGGGTATTGTTTATATCCACAGAGTAAGAAATTCATCCATTGACATTTCCTGTGAATCGGCAAAAAAAGAAGAAAGACCATTTGCCTTTTCGCTGAAACGCAGGTTGCTGCAGTCCAGACGAGTGATGTATCTTTCTAAAGGATTCCCACCGTTTATCAATAAATCTGAGGACAAGAATCGCATCACTGTACGTGATGAGCTGGACAACCATACAGTTCATCTGACAATCTCAAACCTGCAAGGACAGGACACAGACGTGTACCACTGTGAATTCCACTATGGTGATCTTCCATATGATAAGAATGTTCCTGGCAAGATGGAGTTCTTCATCTACATTGAAGACTTCTGTAGGTGACCTTTACTGATATCACTTCAAATATGAGGTCTATGGTAATATCCCCTCCAAACACTGTGAATAGCCCAAAATAGGTTAATTTTGCATTCAATCTACCATTATCTTTAAAAAGGAAAAGCAAAATCATACAGATGCATTGTATTTTCAACTGAAAATATTTAACTTAGTGCATGATTTTCATGCAGTGTGGCATGCTGTTTTTTTTTGGGATAGAACTGTAGGACAATGAATTGTTTGATATTGATTGACTAGTCCTGCAATGTGCTTTTATTATACCTTACCTCAACAAGAACTGTATGGAAACATGTTGTAATCCATTAAATCAAGACCTTAGATACCTGCAATTTACTAGTACCCCAGTTTATGTAACAAAGTACTATGAGTGAAAATATCTGATACACTCAAGCAATGAAATTGCTCAAAAGCAGCAACCACAAAAGGATTATAATTATCACTATCATCATTATATGACATGGTCCATTTTTTCTAGAAATTATGAAAAATGCTTTAGTGACTATTAGTGCAGCAGTAGGCACAAAGCCTAGAAACTAACTCACTATTCGTATATGGTTTGTAAAATCTGCTAAATATGTTATACAATAAACATGTACCACTCTTGCACGGTGCTTCACCAATCAAATTAGAGGACCAAAAGTACCTGCTGTGTAATGTGTCTTTTTCGGCCTTTTTATTTTCAGCTGATGGTTACAGAACCTGGGAAAACTTAAATTAAAATAAGATAAAGTTAGGCAGAAACCTAACTAGTACAATTAGCCTACAGAAAGAGAGAAGGACAGTTTTTGTGCATAATTATTTTAGATTCTACTTTAGTTTATATATATATGTATATATGATGCAAATGACTACAATAATAGTAGTCATCATAAATGGTGTATCTTACATAAAATGTAAATAACCATATAAAGTGTGGAAATACAACAGATTATATCATTGAGCATGTTTTCTGTATGTGTGTGTTTTTGTTGTGACTGTTGCAGCTCATGAGCCTTGTAATTGTTCAAGTTACCTACCATTGCTGTATGTGATCTCTGGAGCTGCATGTCTGCTGGGTGTTCTGGTTTTCACTCTCGCTACAGCTTACTGTGTAAGTATTTTAATTATAGTTTCATATTTGATTTTTAGGGGAGAGTGAGGTAACCTGTGCCATGCTTCACTGAGTTGTTCTTTAGGCAAGATAGAAATACAAAATACTTCTAAATATAGTCAACGAAGACTGCTTTTAACTGAAATTAGAAGAAAATGCATAACAATAGGGCCATAGTTATATTTTTCTCAAAAAATTGGTCGTCTTTATTGGGGAATATGTAAAAGATTACATAAAGAAAGACAGATATTTAAAAAAAAACATTTGATTTAATTTCAGTTTCAAGTTAATTTTAACTTAATGTCTTTTATTTTACATATCCAATATTCCAATACCAAAATATTTCATTTCTTTTCTTTTTTTTTAACAAAGGAATTGGAATACTTTTCTCAATCATTTGGCCCATATTTGCATTTAAATCTTATGTGACAAGAGATTTGCTATCTATTATGTGGTTTAAAGAAGCTATCTTTCCGACTATATATGGTTTACGCCCCACTACATATTCAGCGTTTCGGTTAAACCCTGCCTTCTACTGATTTCCTCTCACATACAGTGTAAATGGCTTAACCGTAGAAAGCCACAGCCTGTAGTTCCTGTTTATGAGGAGATGGCCGGGGTGCGGCCCACCAAAGGAAAAGCCACACGCTGTCACACTGATATTGCAAAACTGGAGGAAGCAAACAGCTCTGTGGCCCATTTGTTCTGCAACGAAAACCTTTATGTCAATTGATTTAACAAACTGTGTTGACTGGGAAGTGGCTCTACTGAAGCGCTGATGTTCATCATGATGCTCCAGCTCACCCACAAAACCTTTCGGAATCATCAGCTTTAAAAGTTTTTTGTTAGCATAAAATTTGTCTTTTCATCCTTTCATCTATATACCTTCATGTTAATGGTATTTCAAGACATATAATTTTAATGCTACAAATACAGAATGTCAGCTTACAGCATTTTTATAGAGAAATGATCTGCTTTTTTGTCTGTAGCACAAAATAGTTCTGATAAAAGATAAAGTATTTTGTGATATACTGGCAACAGTGTTTTTCCCACTGTCTGCACATTCTCTGCATTAAAAAAAAAAGTGTTGTGATTTCACAAAAATACATTGTTGAAGGACCTGTTTATTGAAATGTTGGAAAAGGCGGAAACTGACAAACTTTCACATCATTGTTCTGTTCAGACATTTGTCAAATATTAAAGCATGCAAATAACTTATACACGGTTGAGTGGCATTTCAGCCTGGCATTTACACAAGCAGAAGATGTGACTTCCTGTCTCACACTTGGTTGATTTTGGACTGCAAACTGTCCATCAGACATTTAGAGACAAAAGTGAGAGCAAAGTGTTGCATTTGTTGGCTTTAAATATGAATGCTATATCTTTGTAATGTCACTTTGTAACAAATAAATATTTTCTCTCATTTACATATTTACAGTTTGCTTGCATAAACTGTAAATAAAAAACATTCTAGTTTTCAGTCTCACATCGAGTCCCAAGACCTGGGAATATACATACTACAGTAATAATTAAATAGAAAGCATAAAGTAACATAGCTGTTATATTTCTTTTTAAAAACTAAATATTTCTATTGGTTTTCCCTGTACATGGGAAATAACTAGGGTAGACAGGAAATGAAGGAAGTAAGTTTTTGGGTCTGCTCATCGAGGTCTAAGGAGGGCTCTGTACATTGCAAAGCCAAGCATAGCACAAACTGTGGCTCCAACACTCGCTCTGAGCCAAAACGTAGAGCTCTTCAGGTCAGCATGGGTAATATGCCTGAGAAAGGAAATAGAAATGAATAGTTTCTATTGAATAGAACACAAAAAAATGTGTTTATGAATAGAACACAAAAAATGTGTGTATGAATAGAACACAAAAACATATGAATAGAACACAAAAAAAAGTTAAATTTGTTTTAGTACCTTACATTTACTATACAGCTTTTGTAGCTTAAAGGAATAGATCACCTCAAAAATGAATCTCAAAAAAATTTACTCACCCTCATGTCGTTCCAAACCTGTTTACGTTTCTTTCATATGTTGAACTCAAAAGAAGGTATTTTTTACCTACTATGGAAGTCAATGGGGGCCAACAACGGTTTGATTACCAGCATTCTTCAAAATATCTTCTTTTTTGTTCAACATAAGAGAGACTTGTACAGGTTTGGACCGACATGAGGGTGAGTATTTCAGATAAATAAAATAAATCAAAAGTTTAACTTCTGTAGTGAACATTCAAATAAAACTAAAACACAAGTTTAGTGGACAATAATGCCCGAAAATAGACAAAGCAATGAATTCAAATGAACAGGATATCAAATGCTGGATATAGACAAAGTGTTATTTAAAGGGAATGAAGAAAATGACATTAATGTGCAACACTAAAACATTACAAAACTCAATCCAAGATGAAGGATGAAGAAATATGACAAATTTCTGTGTCAGGAAATAGCAATGCAGATGGAGAACATAAAGAAACTTTAAGAAGAGGAAATAAAGAGGAAAATGGTAATAACTAGATCAACTGTGTTGCAACTTGTAGGAGAATTAAAGACTGAACTGCTGCATGTCACAAGTTGCAAGTCAGATGAGAATGACATGAATTTAGACATGTGCAGGATCGTGCTTAAATCTAAACCCCAAATCCATACCTGCCGTCCATTTGCCATGACAGTCTCAAGACCAGTCATAACTTGTTTTTGTCATATGTGGTATATGCAAGGGTATATAAGAGGGTGCATCACATTCTATTTGCATATCGTATGAATTGTTATTTTATTAGAAGTCAGAGTAGTCATTATGTATAAGTAAACAATATAGTCAATATCACCATTAAAAATAAAAATACATGTTTGTATAAAGCACAAGAAAGTGGGCTTCCCCAGCCTTAAAGTCCCTACATTCTTGGTTCCATCAAAGGATTTTTCTTATCTACCTAAATATCTTAGGGAGTTTCTTCCTTGTCATTTGACTTGTTCACTGCAGGGATTTGTGTGGCACTGCACTACTCTTTGTTAAGCTCCTTTGTATCTACATGTCTGTGAAAAGTGTTATAGAACTAATCTGGACTGAAAGCCTCTAAAAATCTACAGCCCAACACTGAAATAAGCTAAAAAAGTCTACTGCCTAGGCCTGTCCACTTATGTATTTTCATGTAGTCTATATGGTCTAGTGTTTATTAGCATATTAAGCCAGGTGCACTTTGCCAAACTGCCAAATTAATGTGAATCAGAATGAGAATAATTAAATGGAGAAAAAAAAGAGGATGAATTACGATAAAAGCAAGAGAGATAAGTGCAGAGGAAAGGTGATGAACCAAGATAAAGCCATCTTAAGAACCTGCTAAAGATGACAGTGTAGAGTTTGGTCCGAACCGTCTGCACGAGCTCAGAGTTCAGGAAGTTCTGACACAGACAGAAGGTACACCTGTTACAGGTACACATGCAGCGCAGACGCGCATGGCTGCCAACAAACACAGAAAGATACAGGCAAACAGCAGAAATGAGTCACTAAGAAACAGGATATAAAGTAGTGTACTTCTGAGTTAACAAACAGAGGAAAGTCTTGAAATAAAGAAGTGAAAGAATTAAATGCACATTGTTAATTTGAATGCTCCCTCAAGTTCTTTCAAACAAGCGTAACATTCTCTAGTATTTCCCGTCTACATTGTCTCTCTTGTTGTCTTACACAACGAGGGGAAAAACGGAAAAATACGATTTATATCACATGCTTGGAGATTTTGCAAACTGTACTGAATATAAATGCATATGTTCTGTAGACAGTGTGATTTCATGATGAGAATGCAATTGAAGAACAGAAAACTGTCATCTGACTCATAAGATGCTTTGCAGCCAGACAGTTTGGAGAAGCTTTCTGTTTTTAGGAAAATCATTAATTCTGAGTAAACCACCTAAGCATGTATTGTTTTTATCGTTATCTGTACGTGGAAATATCCCCTGAGAAATAAACAAGAGTAGTCAATTAAAACAGAAAGAATACAAGACAAAACTCAAATTTTTTTTTAAATGTATCATTTGAATACAAAGGTAACTGTACGAATAATTTATATAGAATTCTGGTCCTGTGTTAAAGCACCCTCAAAAACTGTGGATAATAAGAGATCACTTACGGATACACAGCCATGGTGGTGAGTTTGATGAAGATGTCTTTGCTGGGAGCCGCAGCTGTGTTACAGGTGTAGGACTGAGGCGGCGGCATCTTGTGCTTGCGACAGAATTCCAGTGGAGTCATATTTTTTTTTTAAATGAATCATTTGAATACAAAGGTAACTGTACGAATAATTTATATCGAATTCTGGTCCTGTGTTAAAGCACCCTCAAAAACTGTGGATAATAAGAGATCACTTACGGATACACAGCCATGGTGGTGAGTTTGATGAAGATGTCTTTGCTGGGAGCCGCAGCTGTGTTACAGGTGTAGGACTGAGGCGGCGGCATCTTGTGCTTGCGACAGAATTCCAGTGGAGTCATACAGTATTGCTGCTTTGTTTCTGGCAGGTCTGACTTTGCAGCAATCAACATGCATGGAGTCTTACTATCCATAAAGTATTGCTGGTAAATAAAGTAAAAAATGCATTTAGAACATATAAATCAGTGTAATATAAAAAGAAAACAGTAAATATCATAAGTTTTAATGCAGAATATGGCATGTATAAAAGTAAATTACAGTCATAAAGGAATAAGACGAAAGATGTGAAGTCTTGTGTTAATGTATTGCAGTTTAATTCCTCTGTATTTAATAATTAGACACAGTATTGGCTTTGCTCTTTCTGTAAAGCAAAGAAAGGTGAGGTAAAAGTGTAAAAGCAAACCTTGAAGATTCGTGCACAGTACTCAAAAGAGCAAGGGTTGCTGACATCATAGATCAGACACACAATGTCACATGAAAGTTCAGTCTCAGACAGGAAATCAAAATCTGGAAAGATTTCATGGAGCTGAAGGAAAAACAAGCAAACGTAGAACAACGTTTCAAAGATTCTGCATCTTTTTTCGGGAAACTATCATGATAAATAGTGGTCAAATCTCTGAACTCTTCACATGGCTTAAATCCTTTTCCACAAAAAAAAGTGTTTAGCATTAATATAGTTAAACAGACTGAAAAAAAACCCTAAAGTGTAAGTTCCTGTAAGCCAAATAACTATTTACCAACAAGTACTTCTCCTGTCCGTACACATGTGCAGTGCTGATTGCATAATATGATCTGTGTTCTTCTTTTATGGCCTTCTGACGCTGTGAGGAACAGACAGTAAATTTAAAAAATAATCATGACAATGTCACATCTGAAATAAATGTTTCAATTTTTTTTAAACAAATCTTTTGATGAATGGAATGCAAATGATATCAGAAATACCACAGATGAGATTGTAAAATGCCTTGGTTTCGAAATTATGTTGTTGGGTGTTTCTTCCTCTCAACACACAGCATGAAATCTAACACTGCGCAAGGGCTTATAAAAATGCTTCTGCAATACTTTACATTTGTTAATACCTTAAGTATCATAAACTAACAATGAACTGTACTAATGCATTTTTAACATTTCAAGTTGTATAATTTAACATTAATAAACTATGAAAAAACATTAATTAATAATAAACAATCGTATATTTACAAAATAACAGTAACCTATATTAATAAATCCTGTAGAAACTGTTTATCAGAAACCCTAATACATTAGCAAATTTTAACAAACTGAAATTTATTGAAATGTGTTAACTAAACTGCTTATTCCATTCCAAAGACAACAAAAAAAATATCACAATTAATTTAATCGGTCTGTGTGGGTTATGGTTTTTCACTTAAATGGAGTGTTTTTCTTGTTGCAACTGACCACAAGGTTTCTGCCGAGGAAGCCCTGCAGGAAACCAGTTTTGCCACTTCCAGTTATTCCAAACGCATGACAGCGAAATACATTCCGTTGTGTCTGTTTCTTCTTAAGGTCCAGCTTCTTGTCACGGGTCACTAGCATGTGCAAATACATTCAGTGAGGACCACAGGTGTAATACTGCACTTTAAGAATTATAAATAAAATACACATGAACAAAATACATAATGTTTTGCGGTTGCAAGTCAATGAGATGTGACTTTTGCAATCTGCATCTGTTGTTACTCTAACAACCACAAGAGGGCTCAATGACCCATAATATAAAGATTAAAATTCTGTCATTTTTTACTCAATTTCATGTCACTTCAAACACCCATTTTGTTTCTAATGTGGATCACCGAAGAAATAGACAAAATAAAAGAAAATCAAAGTTTTGCAGTGTGAAGTGTATAGGCTAAGTGGTGAGTTAACAATATGAAAAATTAAGTCTTTAAAATGCCCCAGCTAGAATTTTTGCATGTTGTAATATCCAAAACTACTCAGAAGTAGTAATTATAGATGTATATAACTACATAATTATATATAATTAGGTATGTTATATAGCAAATATGTGACCCAGGACCACAAAACCAGTCATAAGGGTAAATTTTTCGACATACATAATCTGAACGCTGAATAAATAAGCTTTCCATTGATGTATGGTTTGTTAGGATAGGACAATATTTGGCCGAGATACAACTATTTGAAAATCTGGAATCTGAGGGTGCAAAAAAAAATCAAAATATTGAGAAAATCGCCTTTAAAGTTGTCCAAATGAAGTTCTTAGCAATGCATATTACTAATCAAAAATTAAGTTTTGATATATTTACGGTAGGAAATTTACAAAATATCTTCATGGAACATGATCTTTACTTAATGTCCTAATGATTGTTGGCATAAAAGAAAAATCAATAATTTTGACCCATACAATGTATTGTTGACTATTGCTACAAATATACCCCAGCGACCTAAGACTGGTTTTGTGGTCCAGGGTCACATATATGTCTTTCAACTTACCTGTTATGGCAGATGCCTGAGATTCCTGCTCAGCAATGATAGAGTAGCCAAGGTAACCAAGATATTCCAGACATCGTTGGACATCCAGGTAAGTCGTTAACCTGCAAAAAACATTCATAACTGATAAACTCATGAATCATTCCAAAACCATCCAGACAGTAATGCATCATCGTTCATCAAGGATAACTATAATTCTTGAACTGAGACACATGGCATGTTTGATACACACGTCCACTGAGAGAGATAGCCTTGGTATGTGATCCAGCCCTGGTCATTAGTGCAAACCGTACTGTTCACATCCAGTCCCCAGGGGACGTACGGGAAAACATCAAATAGATCCATAAGCTCTTCAGGGGACAATGCACAGTCTCTGTCCTAAAGCAGATACAAACATGCTTTAGTAAAAACAAGAGAAAAATGAACATCCTGAAAACAACAATTAAAGCCTCTTAGAATTTAATGTATTACCACTTTTGTGACAGACATTTTTATCTAAACCTTTTAATAAAATGGGTTTCTTTCTTGTCTGTCTAATTGGATTTTGATAAACATTTGTCAGTCACGTCAAGTCATTTCTGAGGCAGTTAAAACACTTTTACCTTATCATGTTTGTCAAAGACACTCTGTAGGAACAGGTAAGTATTGTGATTGAGCTCTGTGGTGCAGTCTGGTGGTATTTTTAACCTGTAGGAACATAAACATTGAGTCAGATGTCGATAACTGCAATATTAGTAGATTAGCATAGTCGGATTAAATTGTGATTTCTACAAAGTCTCGAATAGGGAGCGATCAAAGCAGATTAAGAAAGGGGCTTGAAGAGTTCAACACTGTTCTTAATTACTCTTAGGAAACTATCACACACACACATATACATATCTACATTACATACACACACACACACATATACATATATATCAAGTTTGCTGTACTGGACAGTGGACAAAAAAATATTACAACTAAGACTAAGTAAAAAAAAAAAATTTTTTTTAAATCTGTATTTCAAGAGAAATTCAATTACATTTCCTGAGAAATGTAAAACTACATCATGTTTTAACCAAAAGTAGATTTACTGAGGTCTCTTCAAAAAAGCCAAATTAATAGAACTTATCTTCATAATAAATGTGAATAGTTAATAGATTGACTGATTGGAAGCAGTTGTTCTCACAGGGGAAACAGGTAGTCCTGATGCAGCTCAAGATCATCATCATATCCAAACCTCCGCAGTACAGCCCACGTTGTCTCATGCCTTCCTCTTTGGATGAAGAGAGTATGTAGGAAGAGGAAACCTGTTTAAAAAAATTACCATGTTGATTGATTAAATCAAGAGGTTCAGCATTTTCCTTTCTGAACAGAATTGCTAAGCAAACACAAGGCTGCCACTAAAATTCAACACTTTTTCACAGTCTGGGTCATTTTCCTGCCCTAGGCAACTAGGATAACTGACAGTCAGTGGAACCATTGCCTCAAAGGTTAAGTCTGTAGAACATGGTCCTGCAGTACCCAAGCACTGCTCTTTTTTCACCCAGTTCAGGTCGTGGAGCCTTTATTAATGAATTGATTATACAAATAAGGTGTCTTAATTAGGGAAGGCATTCAAAATGTGCAGTTCTTGGGAACGACAGCACCTAGACTGAGAACCTGAAGACCTGCAAATGTTAAACTTCACAAATGCAGCCTCACCTTTGAGAGTGAGCCCATTATCACGCACTCCATCTGACAGGTTTTTTCTCACAACATTTTTTACATCCTCCAGGGCCTGTGGGGCTAGTGGGGTGTTGAAACAAGTTTTCTACAAATAAGAATCAGACAGTGATATTGAATACACAAATACTAACCTTACTCAAACCTTAAGGAAAACTATTTGAACTTGAAATCTCGCTTAAACGAAGTCAAACCATAACCTTATGAATGAATTTACAGGGATAGTAGACCTAAAAAGGAAAATTCTGTTAGCCACAGTTGCCACCCTCATGTCATTCAAAACCCCTAAGACTTTCATTCATCTTCAAAACCAAAACTTCTTGTGTGTAAAGTGAGCACATTTGACCTTCCGTTTACCACATTTGATGTGCTCTATGTATGTGTGCTGATCATTGTTTATGTGAATAAAAATCTAAACTGAATCTGTTCATATTGTTAAAGCGACCAAGTCCATTTCTATAATATTAAAGCTACATCATATTAAAGCAACTATGTCTCTTCAGAAGACTCATATAGATTTATTTTATGATCGCTTAACTTTTTAATGGAATGGACTTTCAATAGAGGGACAGATATCTCTCAAGTTTTATTAAAATACCTTTATTTGTGTTTCGAAGATCAACAACACTTTTCTATGAGAATTTTTATGAGAATGACATGAGGGTAAATGGTGACAGAATTTTAATTTTGTGGTAAACTAATGTTTTTTTTAAGGATAGAATAGAAAAATGTCCTTAGGGGACAAAGAAGACCACAAACACAATTCCATGGTCCAAGAATAATCATTGAGCAATTATTTCAAAATCACTGGCATTTATAGGGGTTTGATCGCCTAACAGTTTCCACTCACCTGGGAAGACTTTTTATTACAGTGCCATGCGAAAGTATTCATAACCCTTCATTTTTTTTCACATTTTGTTATGTTGCTGCCTTATGATAAACTTCTTTAAATTACTTTTTTTCCACATCAATCTACACTCCATACACCATACTGACAAAGCAAAAACAGAATTGTCACAACTTCGTAAAATTTTTTTTTTTTTAAACTGAAATAAGTACATTGCATAAGTATTCATACCCTTAACTAAATATTTAGCTGAAGCACCTTGGAATAATTTTAGTTTTTTATTTTTAATAAATTTGCAAAGATGTTAAAAACCTGTTTTTTGCTTTACAATTATGGTGTATGGAGTGGAGATTGTTGTGGAAAAAAACTAATTTAAAGCAGTTTAACATATGGCAGCAACAAAACAAAATGTGAAAAAAACGCAAGGCACTGTATATGTTACAATATGGCTGCAGGGATTTTTTTCTCTCCCATTCAGACACAAGAACATCAATGAAGTCAGGAACTGATGTTAGCGATGGGACCTGGCTTGATTTCAATTCTTTTTAAAGTTGTCAAAGTTGTTCAGTTCTTGCCTTTGTGCAGGCCAGGTAAGTTCTTCGCATTTTATTATGGACCTCACAACACAAAAGTAAGGCTGGAGCAGAAAGGGCACTCCCTGAACTGTTGCAGCAGTTGGAAACAAACAAGTCTCTAGAATATCATGATTAGGGGTGTGCAATATTTATCATCTATGTTAATATTGTATGTGCAAGAGTGCACAGTTTCACTGTTTGATGGAAGCTATTTAAATCCCATTAGAATGCCCCTGAAATTTAAGATATACAAGGCCATTTTCCCCTATGAGTTTTGTTTTACATTACATCAAATTGTATAGTTAAACAATAACACACAAGCAAGAGTGTTTGTTTCCCCCTCCCAATAGCATCATGATTTTGAATGACATTGGTTTTATAAAAACAGTTTAACAAACAATAAATTAACATTTTGAGATACATTTTTACATAATATTGTCAATATGATCTGTTTTTGCTTCATGTCAAGGAAAATTTCCAAATCAAACCAAAGCAGAACTGTAGGCTACTGTTTTGGGTCTTAGAGCAGCACACAACGGTGCTTTGCAACTCAATTAATCTGTGTTGCGAACAAATCAGTTTAATGAATGATTCAATGACCAAATAAAGACATTTTAATAAATCATCCGAATGACTCAACTCATGAAGACAGTGATTTGCCACCACCTACTGGCCATTAGGATTTTTAAAAATCATTCCATAACTTCAATCACTTTATTTTATTCAATTTTTTTTTTAAAGAAAAAAAATAACTTTTTAAAGGGGAAAAAAAAGCATTATTTATGCAAACTGTGCAAAAAAAAAACACACTCAGCTAAATATTTCTAATTAGCATTATCAACAAAATCCCAGAAAATATTGAGATGTCATTTTTGTCAATATCGCAAAAATGTGGATGTCCACAAATAATGTTGTGCACTTTAAAATGACATAAATATACTCTACTCAGCAGAAATCTCACCTGAAAAAAGGTGAGCTCATGATCATTGAGAATGCCATCGTTGTCCAAATCTGACACCTTAAAGATACGTGTCAACGCCCGAACACAGGCAGACCTCATCTGTAAAACAAATCAATACAGTTAAACTTCAGAACACAATACATCAGTACAATACAAGTACTGTATGTTTACATAAATCATTAAAATGTAGTCATATATGTGCAGACCTCTTTCTTCTCTGGACAGTAGAGAGGCCCTGTAGGGTGAAGGACAGCCTTCTGTGCATAGTAAAATAACTCCGAAATATTCTTCAGATTCTTTGCTGAACACTATAGAAAGAGGTAAAACACTTCATTTACATTAGGGGTAGTAAGCTGTAGCCGAGTTTGCATCCAAAGTTGCGAATTTAACTTATGCGCAAAATTGAAATATCGCATAAAACATTTGCAAATAAGCACAGTTTCCATCCAACGAGACAAAGAGAACAAAATGGTCACTTCCTGGTAGAACTGGCACTAGCCTATATACAGTGTTGGGGAGTAACTAGTTACATGTAACAGCGTTACGTATGCAGCTACAAACCAGTGTGTTCATAAATAAAATAATACATTAAAATAATATGATAAGACAACAATTTTCAATATCAAGCAGCAAAACGAAATGAACTGTTTTGTACAGCTAAAAATAGCTGGATGCAGATGAGACCGGAAACCAGACCCATAGAATTTACAAATGGCCGCGCCCATTTTTACGACAAGAAAAAGGTGGATATTAATGCGGAATCATGTCACGGAATATGCCACATTTTGGATGAATGAATCAAAAGTAGGTCAGCACACTTGTATCAAACCGCGATATGGACTATAGTGTCTGTGAATATTAAGCCGGAAAAAGACAATATATGAATCCTGCACGTTCTGCGTGCCTCTGTGTAAATTAATGGCGCAGACGCGTGGTTATATTTACCACAAGTACTGAAGCGTGTGTATCGCTCGTGGTGTTTTCAGCCTCTGACGCCTCAATATCAGAATCAGAATCAGAAAGAGTTTTATTGCCAAGTATGTTTGCACATACAAGTGCAGTAAACGGTAAAACTGTTTGCACTACAAACCAGTGTGTTCATAATTAAGATAATACATTAAAATAATATGATAAGACAACAATTTTCAATATCAAGCAGCAAAACGAAATGAACTGTTTTGTACAGCTAAAAATAGCTGGATGCAGATGAGACCGGAAACCAGACCCATAGAATTTACAAATGGCCGCGCCCATTTTTACGACAAGAAAAAGGTGGATATTAATGCGGAATCATGTCACGGAATATGCCACATTTTGGATGAATGAATCAAAAGTAGGTCAGCACACTTGTATCAAACCGCGATATGGACTATAGTGTCTGTGAATATTAAGCCGGAAAAAGACAATATATGAATCCTGCACGTTCTGCGTGCCTCTGTGTAAATTAATGGCGCAGACGCGTGGTTATATTTACCACAAGTACTGAAGCGTGTGTATCGCTCGTGGTGTTTTCAGCCTCTGACGCCTCAATATCAGAATCAGAATCAGAAAGAGCTTTATTGCCAAGTATGTTTGCACATACAAGAATTTGTTATAGTGTCACAAGCTTCCAGTACACGGAGACAACAACAACACACAGATAATAAAAATAAGATGTGAATAAAATACACATGCATAAATATAAACCACAAAAAAAAGAATAAATTCACACTGATGCAGGCTCATTCGCAGAAAACTGGTGTTCTAGTTTTTTAGCGTAGTTCCTCTTGGCCACTCTAATCTCCTTATTCAGTGTGTTTCTGGCCTGATTGTACAAGACTCTGTCCCCCCTTTTGTAGGCGTCCTCTTTGGCCTGACGAAGATGATGAAGTTTTGCTGTAAACCATGGCTTATCATTATTGAATTTTAAATGAGTCCTGGTAGGGATGCACATGTCTTCACAGAAACTGATATATGATGTTACAGATTCCGTGAGCTCGTCCAGATCGTTGGTGGCTGCTTCAAAAACACTCCAATCAGTGCAGTCGAAACAGGCTTGTAATGCCTGCTCTGTTTCGTTGGTCCATCTCTTTACAGACTTTACTACAGGTTTAGCAGATTTAAGTTTATGCCTGTAAGTTGGTATAAGATGAACCAGGCAGTGGTCAGAGAGTCCTACAGCTGCTCTGGGGACTGAGCGATATGCATCCTTTATTGTGGAGTAACAATGGTCCAGTATATTACTGTCTCTGGTGGGACATGTGATGTGCTGTCTGTATTTTGGCAGTTCACGGGAGAGATTTGCTTTATTAAAGTCCCCGAGAATGATTAAAACAGAGTCCGGGTGTTGTTGTTCTGTCTCTGTGATCAGATCAGCGAGTTTCTGTAAAGCTGAGCTCACGTGCGCTTGCGGAGGAATGTAAATACTCACGAGAATGAACGAGTGAAACTCCCGCGGCGAATAGAACGGCTTACAGTTAATGAAAAGCGCTTCTAGATCGGAACAGCACCTCTTCTTTAACGCTGTAACATCTGTACACCACCTTTCGTTGATGTCGCGGTCCGCTCTGAACAGCTGAAAGCCCGGTTGTAGCGCGCTGTCCGGAATGGCGTCATTCAGCCAGGTTTCCGTGAAACACAGAGCAGCAGAGTGTGAAAAATCCTTATTTGTCCGGGAGAGCAGAAGAAGTTCATCCGTTTTGTTGGGTAGAGAGCGGAGATTCGCCAGATGGATGCTAGGCAGCGCCGTTCTGAATCCGTGCTTCCTGAGCTTCACGAGCACGCCGGCTCTCTTCCCCCGTCTGCGCGTCCTGAAGCGCTTGATCAGCGCAGTTGCTCCGCTAAGTACAACGTTCAGCAAAACGTCCGAATAAACGAAATCCGGTAGAAGATTGTGTGGTGTGTTCTGCCGAATGTTCAGCAGCTCATCCCTGGTAAAACTGATCGTGTTTGAGAAACAAAAAACAGGAAAAACTAACAAAAACAGTACAAACACTGGAGAGCCAAACACTGAGGCTGCCGTCTGCGGCGCCATCGCATCAGTACATGAGTACATGAAGACATAAACAATCTCTAGAACTTCTCAGAGTCACTTCATGAGCATTTTACTGTTTCTTTTGAGAAAAACTATCGTTATATCATATACAAACAGACACCAATGATTCAAAAAGACACCAATGTTTCAGGAGTTTAGTACACAGAAAAGGACATATGCTTATTAGATAACCGTGTTTGGGTTGATGTATATGCTTTTATTTTATTTTTTTAAATTAACTGTTTTCTTTTTCCAAAGCATTGTTAGATGCCAGTGTTTCCTGTATGCGAGGATTTGGTTTCAAAAACAGTATTAGCAAACTAATTCTTATTATTTTAAATCTGCATTGATCTTCAGATCAATCTCAAAGTAAAAGGTGGTACTAAAGTCTGATTTTGTGGTGGATGTGTTCAATTATTATCATCCAAATTCAAGTGATGAAGGATTTTGAAAGTCTGACAGTAATCGGTGTTGAATACTACTGTAAGGTTAACCCTGCATGATGTAAATATTTGAAAATGATTAACAATTGAAAAAATTCATTAGAAATTTAGAAAAGTAATCAAAAGTAATTAGTTACATTACTTTAGTAAAGTAATTGAAAAAGTTACACTACTATTACATTTTAAATAGGGTAACTTGTAATCTGTAACCTATTACAGTGGGTACGGAAAGTATTCAGACCCCCTTAAATTTTTCACTCTTTGTTATATTGCAGCCATTTGCTAAAATCATTTAAGGGGGTCTGAATACTTTCCGTACCCACTGTACATTTCCAAAGTAACCTTCCCAACACTGCCTATATATCACTAAGAAAAGTAGGAAAAGCCACTGAATATAATAATTTTCATATATACTGAATTGCTTGCGCCTCAGAGCGAGCAGACGAAACAAAATAAATGCGGTCATAGCTGTCTGAGGTGGATGCCTGCTGTTTGGGAACGCAGTCTTGTAACAGTTCTTGGAGACAATTATACAGAAATACTTTGATGACAGACTTTGCTTGGGCATTTCAAAATGACCATAACAACATTTAAGATGCTGTGGAACAAGATAGGTCTGCTGGTTAGTCAGGTTTTGCCGTCCCATGGCGCAAAGACACATTACTTTTTTGATGCGCATGGAGGAATTTACTCCGCAAATTTACTCACACAAGTCAAAAACCACCTCAAGTGAGTGTAAAAACGTTTTTGCGAATTAAAGGATTTTTATTCAAAATTTGGCGTTTCCATCACTCGTTTCTGATGCGATACTTCAAAATGTGCATAAAAACAGGGTGATGGAATCATAGCTTGTGACTGTACCAAGGTTTGAGTTTAGAATGTTCTAGGTTTATTCTGACTCTGCTGAACCCAAAGTGCTAGATGAACTTTGTCACAACTACGCTGCAATAAGCTTTTTACAGGGTTTCTGCAGACTTGAACAAGTTAAATTTAAGACTTTTTAAGACCTTTTTAATACCACCTTATATGAAATTTAAGACCTAAACCTGTAATGGAAATACACATTTTATTACATATATGTAACGGACCCGCGGACACCCTGTTTTAATAAAGATCTTCAAAATCCTCATCATGTTTCTTTAAATACCTACTTTTTAACTGTCATAAATAATGTTCTTATACATCATTGACATTGACTTGCAATTGACACTGCACTTCACATTTCAAAGAGGTGAATAAATTGATGGAGATTGTTAGGATTGGCTGCCTCTTTCTTTGATTGCCAAGCTTTTGAATTAATTAATTGTATTAGAATCCACACAACACAGAGACTGACATCACATGACCTATATGACAGATAAAGGTTAGGGGTTAAGAGCCATTCGGCTGCTCAGTAGCAAATATATTAATAAATATGCATGGTTTGGCATACCTCCACACAGGTCTCTATCTCTGTGTATTTGTTCATGATGGGAAGGACAGTCTCCATACTGCTATGCTCAACCAGATCAGATTTATTCCCCACAAGGATCAGAGGAACCCTTAAACAAACACACACAGTAAAAGGTGAACACAAATAGCTTCTGGCTATTTTTAGTATACCAGGGAATTAACATTCTGACTGCTGTTAACTCTTAATCGTGGAATTGTAAGGCAATTGTGTAAGTTTGGCATGAAATTAATACACTATATACACTACACTATATTTTAGATCTTGATAGATATGTAAATAGATACAGGTGCATCTCAATAAATTAGAATGTCGCGGAAAAGTTCATTTATTTCAGTAATTCAACTCAAATTGTGAAACTCGTGTATTAAATAAATTCAATGCACACAGACTGAAGAAAGATTATTGTGAATGATTATTCCATGGATATGTTTCAATTAAAAAAGAAGCTCACCTTCATCTGGATCTATTTATGAGTGCACCTCAAAATCCAATCAACAACCAATGCCCCACCCCACATTTTTTTTTTTTGATAATCTGTTACACTTGGATATATGGCACAAAATGGAAGAAAAGATCTGGCCCTACTTCCATTTCATTGTGACTTTAGGCAATAAAGTACAAGAGGCTGTGCAAAAGAATAATATATATTTTTTTGGTTTTTGGATGTGAAATAAGCAACAGTCACACAATGTTTGACAAACTTTGGGCCTCATTTATGAAATACGAGCAAAAAAACTTTTGTATAAAGAATTCACAAAACAGTTGACTTAAATTTTCAGATTCGTGTTCATATTTTTATAATGTAAGCTGGTACTACAAAAAATTGACCACATAAATGAAGCGTTAAACTTCTGAACTTTATGCAATCTGATAACTGCATCTTGATGACACTATTCAACATAATAATATATCAATCTATTAACTAATTAATCAATTAGTTCAATATGAAAATCAATTTCTTGATAAACAAAAATGATTGAAAACAGCCGCATGGGCTGTTTTCCTTTTTATTATAGATTAGCATATTCTGAGCACCAGTAATACTTGTCCGCAAGCTTTCATTGAATAATTTCTGTTATCTGCTTATGGCCACTTAGTTTCTTTTGCATTTATGCAATATACTGGAGCCAAATTTGAAAAGGGAGTCCAGAAGATCCTACAGCATTTCTGTACATATAATTAATTCACATATTGCAATTTCTGACTGAAGATTATGCCAACTGTGAATGAGCAGGCACTCTATGTATGAATGATTGGAATTTTTAACAAACACACATTTAACTATCATATCTGAGAGATATAAAATTATTTGTAATTCCAGAGATGAGTGTTTGGAAAGGTTCATTATACATGGCAATAACTCAGTTTACTCGTATATTTACAATTTTTTATGAATGAGACTGGGTGGGCCAAGTTTCTACTCATCACCCAAGAGGTATTACTGACATGTAAATGTGTCTGATTTCAATAATTGCTCTAGTTGGACAAATAATGTTTCAGCTTCTGAAAGTTACAATGTTTTCATAATCAATTTTGCCTATAGCAAAACAAAAATTGGTAAGCATGATATGATATATGATATATGATATGCCCCCCTTAAAATTCGATCTACCTTTAAAGAAGAACATGTAATTGTGTATTTGTGAGAAAGACACACAGAGAACTAATGCATTATACACCTGTATTTACCTACCTGCTGTCTTTGTCTGTTCTCTCATTTATCAAAGGAATCCAATGACTTGTCACCTGCAACAATGACATGATTTATTAAATCTGAAAGCTATATAAATATGTTTTGAAGTCCTATTCACACCAAGGAAGGACAGTAACTATAACCATAATTATAACTATAAAGTTTAAACTATAAACTATATAAATAATCTAATTAACACAGAGGAGCAATATTGTTGGAATTGTAATGATAAATGATAAAAACAGTGATATGTCATGAAAAATAAAACACATTGAGAGTCAATAAGAATCCACACTATTTTAAAGCGCTTGAGAATTTAGTTCACATATACTGTATCATGACTTAGCCTGGTTTCTCCCAAGGTTTTTTTTTCTTCTCCATTTCGGTCACCTAATGGAGTTCCATGCCATTGTCGCCTTTGGCTTGCTTAGCTGGGGTTTAAAAGACACTGAATATTCACTACTATTATAATTTTGACTGCGCTGACACTATCAAATGAGAACAAAACTTAAACTGATTTGAGCTGGATGATGACATTATTATTTGCAGTACAGCCGCTTTATAGCTTAATCAAATTTGTTTCATAACTGATTAAATTTGCAGCATCGACAGTCTTATTGAACTAAACCATCACTTAACTAACTTGATCTGAACACTATTGGCTTTTTTATAGCTGCTTTACAGAAGAATTTGAATTTGTCTAATGTTTAAAGTTTGCATCATTGATTGTTATTTCCTTATTTATTACTGTGAAGCTGCTTTGAAACAATCTACACTGAATAAATCGCTATATAAATAAAAGTACTTGATTTGACATTTAAAGCAGTAGACAACAACTGCTGTGCTCATTTATAGTAAACAGAACATTATTGTGGGTTGCTAATACATTATTGTGAGAGTGTTGATGCTAATATAGTTATTGTTCTAGTTATCTTCATAGTAATTGTTCATGGTGTGAATGGGCATTTACAGGTGTAATGTAAGAGCAAGCAAAATATATGTATATTGTATAATCAGTCAGACTTGAAAATCATGAATCAAATCACTTAATATTCTCATTAGATTAAGTAAATGATTAATAAATGATTATGTTATTCTGACTTACTGCATGAAGACTAGGTTGTATGATCAAGTTCTCTCACCTTCTCAATAGACTTCTTGTTGTTCACGGAGTAGACTATACATATAACATTGGCCTAAAAAGGAATGCAAATATAATTTCTGAGGAAATCAAAATATCATACATGTATGCGTGTGTATTAAGTTTTGTGTATCAATCTTACTTTTGATATCTCTTGATACAGTTGTTCATCTGTCTGTTCAGCTTCTGTGTACATTTAAAAAAAAAAAAAACGTATGTCCTCTCCAATAAATCATAATAATTAGCATTTTTGGGCATTCTGAGTAAATTTTTTGTATTTTAAAAAAGGCAAATATTTTTATTAAGTGTCGTACATAGAACTATAACAGATAACCACTATAATTTAATTTCTTGTTTAATACCCGAGTAGTCCACTATATGAGTGGGGACTCTCTCTGGTGTGACATCTGCTGGTATAGTGATCTCCTCAGCTCTGTAAGGAACCTATTATAACAAAAACATCCATTTTGAAAACAGACGGAGGCAATGTTGCAAATAATAAAGTCAGTGAGAATAATGATTATTAAAGAGACTGTAATATTACTAATAATAATAATACATACCACCGCTGGGAACTCCTCACTGACAAGTGTCATGATCAGAGACGTCTTCCCCACTTTGGCTGTTTACACACAGGCAAATATAAGAGCACTAACAGATTCCTTATCTCCACACATCAATCTGATCAACCTTGAATTCTTTAACATTTCGCATACAATTTTAATTTATATTTTAGTGGTGAAGAGCTTTTATAATATGTTATAGGCTACCAGGTCTAGAGTGAAGCCATATGTAGCCCTCTTATGGTCATAAAACTTAGAAATATGTTTTATGTCTTTGCAGAGCTTAGATATGCAAATACACTTGAGTCTGGCAAACTGTAATATTTACCAACCCCTTTGAATTAAAAAAAAATGTTTGTCACAGATGAACCATTTTTTGCACAATTCTTTATGGACCACAACAGAACTTCTCACTGTATTTTGCTAATTCTGCCTGCCTAGACAACATTCTGTAAAGCTAACGAACTGGCTTCCAAGGCAGCATTCCCAAAAGATACTGAGCTGCCTGCTTAAACAACATTCTCTGAAGTGAGCACTCTAGACAGTGTTATTGGGCACTACTCATTTAAGCTCAAACGGAACCCCTACAGTCGGATGACTTGAAAAATGCACGGAAAGATGGCCAAAAACGTTGACTACTGTAGATACTGTAGGAAATCCACTATGCCTCAATGCGCTGTCATTACAAGAAGGGCAGGTTATGACAATCTCAAATTGCAGTAACACCGAAATCTTGTCATCAGACATAATAGCTATTTTATTTAATGTTACAATGCAACCACTTCAAACATTTGTATCGTAGCCTATATAAGCTCAATATTTCAGTGGAAGAGTGTAAATGTTTAATTCATTTTAAGGTTATATGGTCGTTTCGTAACAGTGAATCAAGGAAACCATGTAATAAATAAGACACTTACGTTCTCCAACCAACAGAATCCTCACGTCTTTTCGCATATTTCCCAATTGTGAAGTCAGAATGACCCTATTATAATCTTCAGGATTTTACATACGTCCATAACAACGCACAACAACCCCAACACTAAGTAAGCTTGACATTATGAACAATCAAACTGATTTGAAGATTTTATTTTAAATCATGGGATACGACGTTCTCTAGATAATATAAGCATCGGCATCTATTGGTACTGATGGAGGATGGAGACATTCGGCGGCTGTTAAGTGATGCACTGTAGAGATGTGTTGCACACACGCCTCCACTTTGACCTCCACCATGCCTACGGGTCTCACTGAGGGACAAACTATGCAAAATTCAAAGGAAAACGCACGATTCATCGGTTTTAAATTAGTATAAAGTTGCAAGTTGAAAATCGCCATTTACATATGTTACCAAGATACATCATAACATTACATCGATTTTCTTAACCATTAAGAATACAGTATATTACAGCAATCCGCAGTACATTTACATTCATTTATACATCTTTAAAGGGGTCATATGATGCGATTTCATTTTTTCTTTTCTCTTTGGAGTGTTACAAGCTCTTGGTGCATAAAGAAGATCTGTAAAGTTGTAAAGACTAAAGTCTCAAATCCAAAGAGATATTCTTAAACACATTTCATTACACCAAATACACAAAATAATGTTCTTTTTAGCAGCATCATATGACCCCTTTAACGAGAATGTCATTATGCCATTTGAGGTAATGGTGCAAATTCCCACTGCTAATTAGAAAAATATATATCTTTATTTTCCAAGAATAAATGATCGATCATACAAATATATTTCTGTGACTCTACAATCTACAAACACATGTCACACTTATGCCACAATACAGTAAACAGTTTAGAAGTCATGGAGGATTTTCCAAAGCAGTATGTCAAATCACACATCAAGGGAAATCCAAGGCCATGAATTCCAGCAAGCTTCTGGGCAGGTGAAGGCTTGAGAGGTAGTGTGAATGTCTGAATGTGAGAGACAAAAGAAAAAAAAAGCATAAAAAATAAATTTAAATCACATAAATTGAACAAATATCAAAGAATTACTGTATATAATTTTTTTTTATGAAGCATTAGAAGTTTCCTTTCAAAATACCTTGAAGAGCACTGTTCTTTAACTTTCTCAGCTCTGCAGATTGAGCGCATAGTGGGCAGGTAGTCCATGGAAAGAACATGTTTATTACTATGACAATAGAACTTTTTGCTGGAGATCAGATTGGATACAATCTCATTGCGCTTCTGAACACCACTATAAAAAGTAAAAATCAGATACAACAAAAAATGAGTGTACACATAATATACACACAGATGAAGTTAAAGCTTCATTAATATTTTAATTTAAAATACACACCTAGGTTCACAGAATTTGCATTGACACATTCCGAGGGTTTTTTTGTCAGATGGCAGAGACAGGGCACAAATCATTTGTTCCCATCTCTCTGAAGACAACTCCTTCCTCAGTCTTGCGGCTTCCGTCCAGATCCTAGAGAGTTCAGTCCGACACTGATGGAAACCCAAACCTTCCACAATGGCCAATATCTGGGATGAATTCTCAAAACATTGTCCGATCTGCTCCTCTCTTGGTAAGTCCAATAAGCCATCCTTCATTGAGGCGCCCATCCAACCAAGAGGTTCTGACTTACAAAGTCCAGTTCCTCTGAGAGATGGTCTTTGTGAATAAGCATCCAGAAAAGACATGTTTTCAAAAAACTTTGCAATGCACACCATGTGCTGAAAAACCAGCATGAGTGATTCATCTTGTCCATGGACATCTGTTTTGGAAGCCAAATGTTTTGTTTGTTTTGAAGGGACTGAGGACTTATAAGATGCATCCAAAGAGAAAAGTTTGAGATGTGGGGTTGAATGTGGGTAAGAAAAAGTTTTTCGCTCACAAGATGACAAATGTTTTTTTCTTCTGCATGTAGACAGCCTGTCTGGTCTAACCTCATGTACATTTGTGGAGGTCTGTAACATCAAGCCTTTGATTGGCTTTTCTCCTTTTGTCTTGAGATTTATTGACTGTTGCTGATAAGAAGATTGAGATGAGAAATGTGGAGAAAAGAGACTTTCGATGTTAGAGTACAGTAGACCTGCTCCCATTTTCTCTGCCAGGATCTCCAGATACCTGCTGTTTTCCAGCTCAGTCCAGGATCCACACTGTGGAATATAAAACAGTATCAATTTCTGCTTATGAATCAGTGCAAGTGGTTTACTAGCTCTGCGACACTATCAGCATAAAGTGTTGTCCACTTTGATGCTTATTCATGTTAAGATCCACCCACTAAGGGTGTATTCACACCGGTCTTGTTTGGTTCGATTGAATCAAACTCAAGTTCGTTTCCCCTCTTGGTGCAGACTTTTTTGGCAGGTGTGAATACAGCAATCACACTCGGGTGCGGACCAAACAACGGTACCGAGACCCAGCTGAAGAGGTGGTCTCGGTCCGCTTCCAAACAAACTCTGGTACGGTTCGTTTAAGGTGTGAATATGACCCGACCTTGATCCGATCCAATTGCAGAAATCACGCTCAGAAACAGACAGCTCGCGCATATAGTGCTGTTATTTGCGTTTAAATGGCTTAAATAACTTACCAAACAACGGTACCGAGACCCAGCTGAAGAGGTGGTCTCGGTCCGCTTCCAAACAAACTCTGGTACGGTTCGTTTAAGGGGTGAATATGACCCGACCTTGATCCGATCCAATTGCAGAAATCACGCTCAGAAACAGACAGCTCGCGCATATAGTGCTGTTATTTGCGTTTAAATGGCTTAAATAACTTTTAAGTCATTGTAGTTTTTAAACCACAATGCTTAAAAACATATGCAAATGATGAGTTTTCGTCACCATGGCGCACAGCAACGTGACGTGAGTGCGCTAAATAGGCTAAAGCTTGCCGCAAAAATTACCATGACTATGTTGGGGGAAAATAGTAAGTAGATATTTGAATTATTTATTAATAAATTAGTGTTTTATGAGTCAGTGTCGCTATGAAGTTGATAATCCTGACTCGCCATCTCATCATTGGACGCGTCTTTAGAAAGAAATGCATCTTTACAGATTACATAATAAGAGGTTTTGGATTTGAATTATTCCGTTTTGTAGTCATTTAACGCTTTCTATAGATATATTAATCAAGTCTGTAAGGAAAATATTCGCTGAGTTTCGGTGTGTTTTTTGTGAAGCGCTCCTGTTCAAGACAGAGACGGCAAGCGCATTCTATTTGTTTTCTTTATTTTACAAAAGCACAATGTTTTCTTGATATTGTGAGTGCACACAAATAAAAATAGACCCTTTACAGTTTCGAACGATGTATTATTCTTACCTTTATGAGCAAAAATGATGGCGTATTTAATTTGACATCGTATCTGATGTCCTGAAGCGCGCTTCAGCTTCCACTCTCCGCACAAACGATTGGATATGCACCTAATAGCGCACATTTATATAGGTTAAATGTTTAAACTAACATTGTGATATGCTTTAAGTATTTTATATCTGTAGATTTTATTTTCGGCAAGTCGTAATTACAACATCGTATGACATTGTCTCATATGATGCTCATAAGTTTCTTCATATTGCGTTAGTATCTGATAACACCAAATCATTTAAAGAATAAAAATTGCACTACGCAAGATCTCCATGATTAGCCTATTTTTGCACTTCCTGTTTTTCCCTGCTTGAGAATTTCTGTTCAATGAATGGATGACCTTAACACACCTGTGGTTTTGTTTACAATTTCTTGCAAAAAAGGGCAGTGTGAAAGCGAATCGCACCAAACAAAAAAAAAAAATCAACATTATATTTGGTCCGGACCAAAGCAAGTGAACTAGCGGACTTTCCTGGTGTGCATACACCCTAAGGGGTATAGTTCATCCAAAAATGAAAATTTTCTCAATTTACTCTTCCTCATTTCATCCCACATATATTACTTTCTTTCTTCAGATGAACACAACCGCAGATTTTTAGAAAAATAATACAAGTAAATAGGTTTCAAATTTTGATGCTTCCAAACTTCTGAAGCAAAGCAGTAGGCGTGTGTAAAGAAAAAACTAATATTTTATGTGTTTTTTTTACTATAAACCATCGCTTTCAGCCAATAGGTCTATATGTGTTCATTAGAGGGTCAAGTTTGCTTGATGTAAACGTAAGTGCGTTGTGAAGCTCATGTGAGATGTGACAGAAACATTACAGAGATGGATTATATTTCTAAAAATCTTTGTGAAAGAAAGTCACACATCTGGGATAGAGGACAGGTGAAGTGACCAACCACACAGGGGTTAAAGCAAAAAAAAAAAAACTTCCAAACCCCATTCCACAGCCATACCTGTCACACACCCAGTTTAAGAGCAGTGTTTTTCTTCTTGTAATTAGGAGCGCTTGTCCTCCTAATTAAAAAAAATTTAGGAGCACCTTCTGATCAATAATAAGAAAATTCTGATAAAAAATTTGCCTTCCTAATATGAGGTGACATTTGACTCAAAGTGATTTACAAGGGCATTTTCTTTTTACCTTTGTAATGGCATCATTACTGTATAATGAAAGGCAGCAGGAGGTTTATTTCGGCTGCTGTCTCTTTAAGACCTCATGCACGGATCTAATATACTGTTACAGGTGGCTCTATGCTTACTTTTCTTTTTAGGAGCTCTTGTCCTCCTAATTTAAAAAAATTTAAGAGCACCTTCCGATCAATTATCCAAAATTCTGATCCAAAATTAGCCTTCCTGATACGATGTGACTCCTTAAAGTGAATTACAGGGGTATTTTCTTTTTACCTTTGTAATGGAATAATTTTCATTTATGTCAAATTAAAAAAAATTATGTCTATAAGCTTTTTAAAATGTCTATTTAAAACAATATAATAAGAAGTAGAATAAGATAAATAAATTACCAATCATATGAAATTAGTATTAATAAAAAATTCATTTGTACTACAGAGGTGGCACAGAAGAACACAAAAGTGGCATGTAGGTACATTTTCAGATGTTTAATGAGGCTCAGAGGCGGCATGAGTGCAATTAAATTCATACATTCATGTGGAGATTAATGTTCATTGAATGAATTAAACACCGCTGTGTTTGCTTTTAGCAGCGGCTGAGCTGTTACTATATTTGGAACTATTTTTGTTGAAGAAATAGAGCAAAATCAGGCAGTACTTGTTTATTGAACTGTTGTATTAAATCAATATCACGTTTGCAAACTCCCGTAATAATCACTAAAAGCTGTCACTCATCTTAGTTCATCGCGATC